TTGGAGCCGGTGGCTTGCAGTTTGAAACAGCGGGGTGGGAGCGAGTGCAGTTTGTGGCTCCTGCCGTGTGGTGGCAGCAGTAAAGGAATCAGGGGGAGCTTAGACCTGCTGAATGCACAGCAACCTGCTAGTTTGATAAAAGCTTAATTAGTGACACGGAGCTGCTAGCTAGGGGCTGTCTGGAGGCTGTTACCACCCTGTGGTGTCCCAAAGTGCCTGGAAAGAGTACTTCAATTCCACAATGGATTTTACACGCACTACTGGCAAGGTGGGGAAAGAAATAGGGTCAGAAAGGGCTTTACATTGGTAGTGCCTCTCTGGGAGGATTTTCTTATTGAAAAGGTGCTCCTGCTTTTCTAAACTTCTGGTTGGTAATATGTGGTTTGTCTGAGGAACTAACTTGATTTTTATTTTGATCTGCTTTTGAAATATGTTTATCAGTTTATTTACAAAACTCATGGTGTCTCATTTTGCATTAGCAATCAGAACAATTTATTTGCACCAAGTTCCCTGATACTTACTCTCACTGGTTGCTGGTCTAGCTGCTGTGATTCAAATCCCCTTTCAGCTTGGGTGGCCTTCTTAGGGCTGTTGTGTTCCCTGTCTGTGGGAGAGGGAATTTCCTGATAATGATTGTTTGAAGTGTAACCTGTGATCTTGTAGCAAAGGTTCTTTGTGAGAAAGAGGTCAGCTGGGCGGCCTTTGTTCTCAGCTGTGATGTGGTGATTTTTTTTTTTTTTTTCTTTTTAGTTACATTCATGGCGTATAAATGGGAGCAGTTAGGGTCAAGCAGGGTTACTAACAGTGTAAGTATCTTGATCCTTTCACTCCTCTTTAATGCAGAACTATATAATTTTTTTTTGTCAATAACATAGGAGCCATTTTTGGAGCACTTCAGGACATTCTTGGGAGCCGGTCTGTGTCCAGAGAATATTACAGCCAGACGGGGCGCATACCTGACTGGTGCTGTCTGAGTAATCCTCCACTGGAGATGGTGTTTGGTGTTGGAAAAGCACCCCCACCACTGATGAAGAAGGCTTTTTCTACTGAGAAATAAGCAGCAAAATGCTACACGAGGATTCTCCTCATCTGTTTCAAGTACATGTATATAAATATCAGTAGGATTTTGATATGGAGTTATCTGTGTAATGCCATTAAATATGACCAGTGTAGGTGTTCTGGGGGAGTACAGGGTCGTTCCTAACACTGTGTGTGGAACTGTGTTCATGTGCTGAACAGATGAATTCTGTTAATTCCTGTGCTACTGTGTCACCCAGTGAAGAAGTGGTTGTAGTCGCGAGCTGTAGCTTAGTGAGGTCTGTTATTTATTGGTGCAGTAAATAATGTTGTGAAGGTGCTTTGTTTGAAAGTGCTTTGATGTCAAGTAGTCTCAGAAGAGGGCAGGCCTGTGTGCTTTGGGGGACATCTGGAAGCTTTCCTGCCAGACTGAAGAGCGGAATGCTTCACATAGGATTGTGTTGGGACTGCTAGGACATGGCTTGGGTTCCTTAGCGAAGTTGCTGGAACAGTATTTCCCCTGAGAAGGGAGTACTGTTCAGTGCTTCAGCAATGAAACACCTTTCATCATGTGCGTAGAGAATTCTGTTGCCTTGCAGCAAACAGTAGCACCTATGGGTGCAGTTGCAGATGCCAAACACGCTACTGTGTGCCAGCGTGTGTTCCTGAGCTGATGCAGAAAACTCCTGGTGTCCTATTTACTTCAACAGCACCTTTAGTTTGCAGGGTTTACTTGTTCCTGGGAGACTTTGATGTGTTTCCTTTCAGGATGCACTTTCTTTTCCTGGTGACAGTTCCTTCGTACACACCTGTAGAACGCATCCTCACTAACTCACGCTAAGGGGGTCTCATGATGTGGGTTTTACCACCCAGAAACATAAGGCAGGCTGAGCATTGCCGACTTTTGGGGTAACTCTGTGTAAGCAGCTGCTGGCTGAGCTTCCTTGCAGCAGTGTGGGCTCTTACCTCTAAGGCCAGGATTTAAGATAATTTAGAGTACCTTAACACTTCACAACTTTAGCATGAAAACCTCAGCACTGGGGCAAAGTCTGTTACTGTATGCGGGTGCATAGAGGCTTCCGTTTTGTTCCAGCGTACGATCTTGTTTCTACGAACTTCACCACACAGCGCTGCGGCTCGTAACGAGTAATTCCTCCCCGTCGGTATCTGAAGAGGCAAGAAGAAATGGACGGGCTGTGAGCCGTCCTTGGCGGTGCCGCCACAGCTGCCTACAGCCAGCGCCGAGCAGAGCCGAGGGAAAAACCGCGCCGTGCTTCAGAGCATCCCGACGGGCGGCCACGGCACTGAGGAGCGGGAGGCGGCCGTGGGCGGGAAGAGCGGGGCGGCAAGAAGCGGTCAGGCGCCGCGGGCAGCTTAACGAGCTGGCGGGAGGAAGGGCCCGCAGCAGGAAGGACCTGCAGAGGGACGCTCCGCCTCCGTCAGCGGGGTGCTGCCGGGAGCCGCGATGCCGCTGTACGAGGGCCTGGGAAGCGGCGGGGAGAAGACCGCAGTGGTGCTCGACCTGGGCGAGGCCTTCACCAAGTGAGCGCTTGGCTTCGGCTCCTTACGGCGCCGGGCCTCGCGCGCTTCCCTGTCCGCGATGCTGGCGTGCTTCGAAGGTTTTGTTCGGAGGCCGTCAGTGCGACTCCCTGCGCCGAGCGGCGCCCCGCAGCTCCATGGGGCTGCCCGGGGCCGATCCAGCCTCGCCTCGGGCCCCCCGTGCCGCTGCCTGTGCTCGGGGGCGGCTGTCCTTGTCGAAGTTCTCCTGAGTGTGTGGTGAATTTGTCAGAAGCAATCAGGGTGGCAGGGAGATGCAGCTGCTTGCGTGCGCTGGGACTGGAGAATTCCTTCAGGGACCAAAATTAAGCACTGGAATTCTGATCTCTGTCTGTTTTTGGAAGTTTCTTTTGAAGTTGTCTCAGGGGAGATGCTTGTTGTTGGTCAGCAGTGAAATGGAGCGCAGGACCTTCCGGAACTTCTGAGTTGTTTACAGAGAGAGTGGTGAGGTGCTGGAACGGCTGCCCCGTCCATCCCTGGAGGTGTTCAGGGCCAGGTTGGATGGGGCCCTGGGCAGCCTGGGCTGCTGTGAAATGGGGAGGTTGGTGGCCCTGTGTGTGGTGGGGGGTTGGAGCTTTGTGATCCTTGAGGTCCCTTCCAACCCAACCATTCTGTGATGACAGTCATCGAGGCTGTCTCTTGTTTCTTGTAAATGCACCTCACAGAAAATGAGGATGTGAGCAGGGTGTGAATGAATGGTGCGTGTGAGGACTGAGAGCTTCAGTGGAAATGGGTCTGATGTGGAAACGGGGGCAGTTATTTGTGTGGGAATTCAGTAGGCAGTAAGGAAGGCAGGTGGTGGGTGATCATCACTCAAAGATTGTACTTGACAGAAATACGGAGTCAATCAAAGTTGAGCTTTGCAACTGAGTCTTAACAGAAATGAAGCCTGCTCTGCTTAATGCATCTGAGAGGGAGTCAAGAAGAGAGAGAAAATGTTTCTTGTTCAGTCTAAGTAGATAGAAAAGTCATATGCAGGGTACCTCTTAGTAGCTGCAGAGTATTCCTGATTGATTGCTTTTTGATTCATGGGTGTGTATGCTGTGCAGTGACTACAAATGATGGGATTTCCAATGTTTTCTTCTAGGTGTGGTTTTGCAGGTGAAACAGGACCAAGATGCATTATTCCTAGTGAAATAAAGAAACCTGATGTCTCTAAGGTAAACCATTTCATCTTTACAGTATTTGGTATATTGTGAGGGCACTGTCAGGTAGACTTGCTCATGACTGGCTGTTCTTCCTCGTGTTACAACGGCTGTTATTAAATACCGAAAGTGGGTACCAGTAACTGTGATGCTGATGTGTATTACTTGGTACATATCAGCCATGCTTCTTATTTTGGGGGTATTTAAAGAGAAATTTCTTTGCCTGTTTAAGCTTTTTTTTCTTAAGAAGAGAATAGCAGCTTTGGAAAACTAATGTGAAATTAGTGGTATGAAAGGTTATGAAGGACAATCTGCAGTTTAGTCACAGGGTGAGTTATTGTGTTGCATCCTGTATGTAACAGCAGAACAGGCTCTTTGTATTGTATCTTTGAATGATATATTTCGAGATACTCATTGTCCAATATTCATGCTGACTGTGAGTTATTTCTTTCTACAGCCTGTCAAAGTTGTTCAGTATAACATCAACACAGAGGAGCTGTATTCATATCTGAAGGAATTTATTCATATGTTGTATTTCAGGTAAGAGGTACTTGGATGTTAATCGTGCAGACCGTGGTCACAGTTTGGGAGGTGGGGTCTCAAAGTATTGGTTGTTTTCTGTTGCTGTATTTTTAGTACTGTTAAAAAGAATAAAGTTGGAGTTGACAATTTCCTCTTTATTTCCAGTCTTTCACTTATGCAGTAAAAAAATCATTGTTTGCAGTGTTCTGTACTTAAGATCCTCACAAGTGGGGACTTTGTGTCCTTTGTCATTGACTTGTAACTGAAATCAGGGCACTTGTGTCCTTTCTGCTCCATGTGTGGCACTGCATGGCACTGGACAAGCCAATAATGACTGCTCTGCATCCCCACTTGCATTTCTTTATGTTGGTTTAGCAATGCATGACATTCAGAACCCCGCGCTCCCAGCAGAGAGCTCCTTAGCTTGTCTTCTGCAGCTCAGTTTCCTTACTTCCATTGAGGAAGGTTGGGTTTGAGTGTTTAAACTTGAGCCAAAGACCTTGAGGTAGCTCTTACAAATGCTGTCTAACTGCAGAACATTAGGATTTGTAGGTAGAAGGGGACATCAGATGAGGGTAGGTGTTGTCATACCTGCATAAACTGAGTGGTTCTGTTTCCATGTCTTGATTTCTTTTGTTTTTAATTTTCAGACATCTTCTGGTGAATCCCAGAGACCGTCGTGTAGTGATCATAGAATCTGTGCTCTGCCCTTCCCACTTCAGAGACACTCTTGCCAGAGTCCTTTTCAAGCATTTTGAGGTGCATATTTGATGTAACTACGTATGTGCTGAGCGTAGCACTTAATGGTAGGAACCGTAGTGATGGTATGGACAAAGGAGTGAAAATAATGGCAGA